GCAAACATATGTCGTATGCCCACAAATGCATCAAGAAACAATATTAAACCTGGTACAAAAACATCTCACCCTACATCCCTTTATACCGATTGATGATCAAAGAAATGTTTTGCTACCCGAAAATATAAGGCACAATGCAGTAAAGAAGATGTACCAGTTTTGTGTTAAAAATTTGTTGCGGTTGTTATGGGCTTACCTCTGGATTAACTAGTATTCTTCTCAATGGTAGCACCTATAGACACAGTTGACTAAACCTACCATTCTCTTTAGTAAAACTACGATAAAAATTGAGGTGCATTGGAGTGTCCTTAAGTGATGTTACCTACATTGCTTTAATCGATCTAGGCTGGATTTACTTCTCTAGACACTCTTTAAAGAGGTAATTCCAGCCCAAAAAGAATGATTTTTTCAGGTTTTGAATGGTATTGTAGAGTCATAGTGGTAGAAGAACTTTAAAAAAAATGAAATTATGCTGGCGCAAGTGACCAACAACAGATAGAAATGCATAATAATAAGCTTAACAAAAATAAAAGGAAGCGGAGCATCAATCCAATAATAACAAATCCTGTTAGATCATATTTTACTGATACTACTCGTTAAGTATATAGTTGCTTTACCTTTATTGGCAGTCATTTTCTTATATGTAAGCATTTGGTTAAAAAAGTTGTGGATTTACCTAATAGAAACCATCGAAAGTTGATTAGAAGCAATTTTGAATACCATACTATACCTCAATTCCTTGTCATAAAAGGTTTTATGAATAATGAAACCATGACCAGTACCTCTTCTATACTATTTTCAATATCTATTGAAGTTTCAGAAACTCATGAACCTAATCCTATACTTATTAATGATCCTGAAAATTTTGATGATGATGCTCGCTCCTTTGTTGAATTAAACTTGTCTTCGTTTGAATGTGTATTCAAGTGGGCCTGCATTGAAAAGTTAGCTAATAATTGGACTATGTCCGTGCAGTTATGAAATGTAATAAATTGTTAGAAATAGAGGAAGAAATATAGGCAGTAGAGAAAAAAAAACATAGGCAGATAACTTGGGCTTCAAATAATAGGAAGCCATATTTGATGTATTTATCATTTCTGGATAATGCAAACAACTACAAAGATCAACTTGATGTAGAAATAAATATATAGTAATAATTAATATTAGCTGCTAAAACTATATGTAACTATACTTTTGCATTTGTAAGATGTTCACCTTTTTAATTTGAGTGCCAAAAATCTTTGTATTTCTTTCTGATGTTGAATTCAAAGTTTTGTTCATAGTTTTTATAATGAGCCAACAATTGTAAATGAAATTGAACATACATACTACAAGATATATTAAATTAGAGTCTCTTAACTTTCAGCTTCAAAGTGTAAATCAGTAAATGTCCAGCCAAATGCAGGGGAATGTTAAAGTTTATGTTTATTCTTGATGCACTTATCATTTCTTTTTATATGTAGACATCAAGAAAACAATTTATGCAGTATATAGATCTGAATTATCTAAAAAAAAGGTTTCATGCAACTGCAGCAGTGGTGCTACACATATGATCTATAATTTTGAAGGCTGCCCTGATAGAGTTTTTGCTTTTAATAAATTTCTTTTAGCTTCTTCATTGGGTTTAGAGTTGTTTTCTTGTAATTTTTTCACCAGTTTGAAGCTGTATTTCTGTAATTTTTTCTACTAGAGTTGGAGATATTCTCTTTAATTTTTTTTATCAGTTTTGGAGCTATTCTCAGATAGGTTTTATAGAAATTTTAGAGCTGTTTTTTTAGTTTCTGCTTTTAATAATTTTATTTTTAGTTTCTGTTTTCTATTATAAAATCTACTTTAATTTAGTTTTGCTTTTTAATTTTTAGTTTTTTTTGAGCTGTTCTCTTATAATTTCTTCATCAGTTTGAAGCTGTTCTCTTATAATTTTCTGTGCTATGGTTGGCTGTTTTTTTTAATTTTCTTTGCCAGATTTGAAGTTATTTTTAGATAAATTCATAGTTATTTTGGAGCTGTTCTCTTGTAATTTTTTTGCTAGATTTGGAGCTTTTCTCTGTTAGTTTTTACTTATAAAACCTACTTTAATTAGCTTTTTTGTTGGGTTTAGAGTTGTTCTCTTGTAATTTCTTTACTAGTTTGGAGCTGTAGTTCTGTAAATTTTTCACTGAAGTTGGAGCTGTTCTTTTTAATTTTCTTTACCGGTTTTGGAGCTATTCTCAGGTAGATTTCATAGAGATTTTGGAGCTGTTTTCTTGTATTTTCTTCGCTGGTTTAGAGCTTTTCTCTGTTAATTTTTCATTATGAAACCTACTTTAATTTAGTTTTTATTTTTAATAATTTTTTTTTTAGTTTTTATTTTCTACTATAAAATTTACTTTAATTTGGCTTCTGCTTTTTAATTTTTAGTTTTTTTTTCACTAAGTTTAGAGTTCTCTTGTAATTTCTTTGCCAGTTTGGAGCTGTTTTTTTATAATTTTTTTTGCCAGATTTGGAGCTATTTTTAGATAAATTCATAGTTATTTTGGAGCTGTTCTCTTGTAATTTTTTTGCTAGATTTGGAGCTTTTCTCTGTTAGTTTTCACTTATAAAACCTACTTTAATTTAGCTTTTTTGTCAGGTTTAGAGTTGTTCTCTTGTAATTTCTTTACTAGTTTGAAGCTGTAGTTTTGTAAATTTTTTCACTAAAGTTGGGGCTGTTCTTTTTAATTTTCTTTACTGGTTTTGAAGCTATTCTCAGGTAGGTTTTATAGAGATTTTGGAGCTGTTTTCTTGTATTTTCTTCGCTGGTTTAGAGCTTTTCTCTGTTAATTTTCCACTATAAAACCTACTTTAATTTAGTTTTTATTTTTAATATTTTTTTTTTAGTTTTTATTTTCTACTATAAAATTTACTTTAATTTGGCTTCTGCTTTTTAATTTTTAGTTTTTTTTTCACTAAGTTTAGAGTTCTCTTGTAATTTCTTTGCCAGTTTGGAGCTGTTTTTTTATAATTTTCTTTGCTATGATTAGCTGTTCTTGCTAATTTTCTTTACTAAATTTGAGTAATTTTTAGATAGATTTTATAAAAATTTTGAAGCTGTTCTTTTGTAATTTTCTTCATCAGGTTTGGAGCTTTTCTCTGTTAGTTTTCATATATAAAATCTACTTTAATTAGCTTCTGATTTTAATAAATTTCTTTTAGTTTCTTTGTCAAGTTTAGAGCTGTTTTCTTAAAATTTTTCACTGATTTGGTGCTATTCTCTTGTAATTTTCTTTATCGGGGTTGGCTTTTCTCATTGCCAGATTTGGAGCCGTTTTTAGATAGGTTTTATAAAAGCTTTGAAACTGTTTTCTTGTAATTTTTTTCACCAGGTTTTGAACTTTTCTCTATTAGTTTTCATCTATAAAATCTACTTTAATTTAGATCCTGTTTTTAATAATTTTTTTTTAGTTTCTTCATTAGGTTTAGAGCTGTTCTCTTAAATTTTTTCACCAGTGTGAAGCTATTCTCCCATAATTTTCTCTTGTAATTTTCTTTATCAGGTTGGTTGCCCTCTTTGCCAGATTTAGAGCTATTTTTCTGTAGGTTTTATAGAGATTTTGGAACTGTTCTCTTATAATTTTCTTTACTGAATTTGAAGCTTTTCTCTGTTAGTTTTCACCTATGAACCTAAATTTCTTTTAGTTCTTTGCCAGGTTTAAAGCTATTTTCTTGAATTTTTTATCAATATAAAGTTGTTTTTCCTGTAATTTTCTTTGCTAGGTTTGGCTGTTCTCTTTGTCAGATTTGAAGCTGTTTTCAGGTAGGTTTTATAGAGATTTTGGAGCTGTTCTCTTGTAATTTTCTTTTCTGGATTTAGAATTGTTTCTGTTAGTTTTTATCTATGAAATCTACTTTAATTTAGCTTCTGTTTTTAATAAATTTTTTAGTTCTTTGCTGGGTTTAGAGTGTTTGTTCTTTTAAATTTCTTCATTAGTGTGAAGCTATTCTTCTGTAATTTTCTTCACCAGAGTTGGCTGCTCTCTTTGCCAAATTTGGTGCTATTTTCAGATAGGTTTCATAGAGATTTTGAAGCTGTTTTTTTGTAATTTTCTTCGCCGGATTTGTTTTTACCATAAAGCCTATTTTTTTTTAGCTTTTGTTTTTTAATAAATTTTTTTAGTTTCTACGCCAGGTTTAGAACTGTTTTTTTGAATTTATTTGCAGGTTTGGAGCTATTCTTTTGTAATTTTCTTCGCCAGGGTTGGCTGTTCATCTTTGCTGAATTTGAAGCTATTTTTTTATAATTTTTTTTGGGTTTGAAGCTTTTCTCTGTTAGTTTTCTATAATTTAATTTAGTTTTTTCTTCTAGTAGTTTTCTTTAGTGAGTCAGAGCTGTTTTCTGATAATTTTTTTTGAATTCAAAGTTTTTTTTATACCTATTTTATATGACCAATCAGAACTTAGAGAAAATTAAGGCTCTCTATTTATAATATCAGATCTACCAATCATGTTTAAGCCACATAATCAGGATGCATCGATTATGCGAAGTGAAAAAATAGCATATTATACGATTGCATAATTATAGACACCCTAAGGTAAATACAAAAATTACCAGAATTGGTAAAACTGGTAGGTGTCCGGAGATATTGAAACTTATTCTATAAAAATCTGATTCTGATACATGATCGAAATAATTAATTTTGATGGTTTATCTTGCGTGATCATATGAAAATCAGTGCGCCAAATTCATGTAAAGAATTTAAAGAAAATCCTCTTTTAGAATTGTAGTTATACTTAGAAATTATCAATTAAAAGTTGGGGTTTTTTTATTAATTTATTTAGAAGTTATATATTTTTTATACTAGAGGTTGGAATCGGTTGAAAATTCAAAACCCGAATTGGATCGAGTTAAGTTGGGTTGATTGTAATATATATTTTCATAACTGACTTGTTATTAAAACCTATTACCAATAAAATGGTTTATTATTAAAACTGGGTTAACTCAAACTTAAAGTTAGATCTAACAAATCGATCCTGACTTCTATATGGAACTTGTTTTTACCATTTCTACCTGTGACTACACACATTTACAGATATTAAATATTATTAGAAAAGAATTAATAAAGCTTGAAATTTCATTTCAGGAAAAAGATATTTCCGTAAAACGAATATCATAAAAATTAAGTTAAGCTTAAATAGCTCAATAATATAACAATAAATGATCAAGGATTAACAGTGCACAATTTAAATGAATGTGCTACATTTTATAGCTTCGCTCAAAACTATCTTAAGATAATCTTTAGTTAGTTTTGGTTGTATAATTTGTATAATGCAAGGTTTTTCCAAAAAATGTTGACAACGTTTTTTCTCTTTTGAATAGTACTATACCAAAATCACAATCTTAAATATAGACAAAATAAAAAGGCTAAATATGAGACTCTTGAGAATCAAATAAAACTTCTTGAAAATGAGAAATTACGATTTGAAGAAGAAAATCGACAAAGGAAATATGACCTCCAAAGTTCAATTGATAAACTTCAGTGTAAAGTAGAACTTCTTCAAGAGCAGAATAAAAAACTGAAATCAGAAGTTGAAAAGAAACTTAGAAATCTTTGCAAACAGCATGCAACAGAAATTAGAAACCTCAAACAACAATATGAGACAGAAATAAGAAATCTCCGTGAACAACATGAAGTGAAGATGAGAAATCTCCAGAAACAAAAAAAGTATGATTTCTTATTTCTCATTGTTATTATTTTTTTTTATTCTAACTTTTCGCATTTTAGATTTATCTCTGAAGAAACACCAATATACATTAGTAATTTTGGTAAGAAAGGACAATTGTTAAATATTTTTTCAATTGATACTAATAACTATATATGTTCTTTGAAACAAAGAACAAGCAAATCCTACGCAACTTTTACCCTTTAGTAATGAGGAATACCTGCAAACTTTCACAATACTGGCGGTAACTACACCTATTACCCTATTACAATAGTAAAATTATTTGTTATTGCTTGCACTAAATGTACTCTACTTTATGTATTGCTTGCATTAAATGTTCTCTACACAATTAAAATTAGATAACAATAATATCTAAGGTAAGATATTCAGATTTTAATATTATTATAGACAAAATCATTAGGTTGGGATTAATTTATTTCAAAGTTTAATATTTTTATTCTCATAAAAATTTCAAAGTTATATTGAATGATTAAGACGTTCTGAATAACATTATCTCAGATTCATTACACACACAAAGAACGAATACATACAAAATACTAGAGACCAGAGAATTACAATTCAATGCAAAACTACAGTACAAGGCGATTTATGGATGCATTACCAAAGAATTCCACCAGGCAATTGCAAAACTAAGAAGAGCAAACACCCCATCGGCGCATCTTATTCACAAGATTATAAAAGCTCTACATGGAAACAAAGATGTATATTCAACCAACAAAAACAATACAAAGGATTCAATAGAAAACAGAACCAGAAAACATAGAACCAAAAAATGCTCCCTGCACAAGTATTAGAAACCGCACCACATTCAATATTGCATGTTGACAAAAAGCCAAAGACAGGGGAGAGTGGTCAGGGTTACACGCCACGTGCTACAACCCTGCCCCGATAGCGTAAGTCGGGGATCGAAGAGACATCAGACCACATCAGCGATTCATGCGAACGTATCTACGTAACAAAAAAGCCACCGACCTCAATCATATAAAAGCGACGAATAAGTCAATTTCTCAACTTTCTCCTCTTTCTCCTTGCAACACAACCAAGATTATAACCGTCATTTTCTCGACCCAACCCTTCCCACCACACACAGGGGAACACTCTCCTGATTCTGCCATTTTCCTATTTAACAGCCGGCCTGCTTTAAGCAGGCGGGAAACCACCGGCTGATGCTGATTCTCACTCATTCTACTGTTACGATGATACCTGGGCGCAATCTCACTTGCTAATTTTCCCGGGAGCATATCATCGTTTCAGTTCAAATTACTCACAATGTATTCTGCGGACTTAAAGTCCTTTAATTGAATTTATTTCCGGCTCCTTTGGCTAGCCGGCATTCTTCCAATCACATGACCAATCGTACCTATGCTTTTCGAACGCATCCACTACACGTATAACTGAAATAGAATCTAAGTGAAGCTTGTGCCTTAGTTTCTCGCTTTCTTAGATAATAGTAGTAAAATCATACTCATGTATTATTACTATGTATATTCCAAATTAAATTATCATTAAAGAAAACAGAAACCAAGCTTTGCTCTCAAAAAAAAAAAAAAAATTAGATTCAATCTTTACATTATCGAAAATACCGTATAAATTGGCACATATCTGTATGCAAGATTTTAAATAATTAGGATGACTACGAGACTTAGTCACGCTAAAACCAGGAACGTGGAGTATTTGATTTACGGGGTTAAATGTGTAAATGAGGTGAGATTTCTTTCTTGAAATAAAATAATCCAAATTGCTATGTTTTAAATTTATAAGATTTGGAGTTTCGTATATATGCTTTCAATTATATATTATATGTCACCAATTAGCATTTTAGAGTTAATCCAATAAAGTGATAAATTCAAAGGTTTATTCTTTAGTTTACCATACACATATAGACATATAGAGCAACTTTTCATGATAACTACCGGTTCTTTGGTTTTTAATTTGGAGAATAAAGGTTTTAGAACCTAAACTAATTTATAAATATTTATTATCATTTGAATTTAGAAGTCACATAAATAATTTATAATTACAATTGATTATAAAATATTTTTTATTAGATGAATATTTTGATCATAAGTAAATTCGTCAGAGAATACGTGTAGGCGTGTCAGTTTAATGAATTTAAATAAAACTGGATGATTTGTTTTAAAACTGGATTTATGAGTTTTTGTAATTAAACTCGATTATGAAAATGATATGATTTCAACCTCTACGACGAAATAAGATTGAACTGCATAATCGCGAGTGACGTAATTGAGATGACACGTGAGAATAAACGTGTACCAAGAACATTTTTTTTTAAATAAATTGATATCGTTATTGAAGAAAGGTAAATAATAAGTGTTCGGCTAAAGACCACGTGTATCTCCAAAAGACTAATTTAGAACCGTGAGAAAAAGTGATCAATGCGTGAGTTAGCTTGCAGGTGATGTATCATTACTACGTTTTACACGCTTTAATCTTTAATTTTGTACAGATTAGTACTCCCACGAGGATATCAAGTCTATTGAAATATTTAAAATACTATTAAAAATTCCTAAAGATGGTTTGTAATCTAATAAATTAGGCATCGATTTATACATAAAATTTGAACTTTTTTTTTGTTTTTTAATTTATTGCAGTATCGGTATATACCGATATTACTTATGAACTTAGTCGATTATGTCATATACGTTAGGCTAGTAAATATATGAATATTTTTATGCATTATATATACTATATATATGCGAGAACGCGTCTTTTTTTCACTCTAAACTCATTTTTTATTAATCAAATTTTGTATACATTTTTTAAGTTGATAAATTTAATTTCACATTTTTTTTTAAATCGATAAATTAAATTTCACATTTTTTTAAGTCAATAAATTAAAATTTTCACATTTTTAGTAAGTCGATAAATTAAATGTTCTAGGTCTCGATAAATTAAATTTCATATATTTTTTTAAGTCGATAAATTAAATTTCATATTTTTTAAAGTCGATAAATTAAATTTCACATTTTTTTAAGTCGATAAATTAAATTTCACATTTAAGTCAATAAATTTCTACATTTTTTAAGTCGATAAATTAAATTTCACATTTAAGTCAATAAATTTCTACATTTTTTAAGTCGATAAATTAAATTTCACATTTAAGTCAATAAATTTCTACATTTTTTAAGTCGATAAATTAAATTTCACATTTAAGTCAATAAATTTCTACATTTTTTAAGTCGATAAATTAAATTTC